ACGATCGGATACAACAAGAATGGCATTATGGATCTCAACTGATTTGGCCTTAGTTTCTTCAAATTTTGCCCTTAACGGGGCAACCTCCTGGCTAAGAGTCATACTTCTTGCTCACTATTGCTACAACCGAGCCTCCGGCTCAACGGCCTTAGCAGCTTGTGCTTCCAATTCTAAGAGGCGAGTAGTAGTTTAGTCTCGAGGCGGCTAAAAGTCAATCTCGCTTGGAGGTAAGTTCCTCCTTATCACAAATTGGCCTTTGAAGGCCCTCAGAAGCAAGGAAGTTGGCATGCAAAACAAAAATATAAATTCAAAGCCATGCCATAACAAAGATAGAAGAAATGACAAAAAAACAAAGAATGTACTGCCGCTGCATTATGTATGGCATTGTTCAACAAACACTCTCCCGAGAGGGTTTGTATCTTATCTCTATCTTTTTTTGAAGCCAAAGGCTTCAAATAGTTAGCAAGCTCCACCTGCCGAGATACATATGGCATCCGGTAGACCGAGAGGGTGACACTCCTCTTCCTTTGGGGATCTTCGGAGGGGACATCATAACTTTGCCTCAAATTCACATGAACTGGGGACTGGGGAATAAGGACATCCACCTCTCGGGCAACTGCCGCCGGTGGAGATGATGTGGCAGTTGCTGGTGGCGAAGGCAAAGTTTGAGAAGAGGAAGATAAAGCATATGGCGTTGTAGGATGAGAAAAAGCTGCGGCAAATGCGGTGCTGGTTGTTGGTTGCTCTTCAACCGAAGATGAAAGAGACCCGGTACTCAACTTCACTGTACCGGGCGAGGCAATTGGGACTCGGAAGTGCGAGTTAGCATCTTCCACCAAATTGAACTCCCCCTAGAGTGTCGAGGCATCGTCCTCGGTTGTTGTAACTAGCTCAACAAATTGAACATTCTGTTGAGCTGATAAAGGTCGTCGTCTTCTATGTAGAGAAGCCTCTTCATCACTGGCTCCTCCATCATCATCGATCACCATAGTTTTTGGGACCGGCTCGGGCGCGGCTCTCATCTCCATGACATTCGCGGATGGCTCAGGCACTGCATTCATTGCCTTTTTATTTTTTCCTCTGTTCATGGAGGAACATCTCCTTTTTGGTTGCTTGTTGTCCTGTCAGGAACTCCAAGAAGAAGCACTTGCACCAGAAGCAGGCCCAGAGACACCTATTCGGGAAAAAGCCTCCTGCAAAAACCTCGTTGCGTTAGGAGGATTAGCCAAAACGTCTTCCTCGAGGATGACAACTAAGCCCTGGGATAGACCTGAATTCAACAGAAGAGAGAGGTTAATCAACTTCCTAATATGAAAGGTAAAAATAATACGAGTTCGACTTACCATAATTTTTGGCCTTCCATCCATATTTAAGGGCCAAATCTTTCCAAGTGCGGGTCTCGGGCTTAGTGACATCCAAAATTTTCTGGACCCACTGGTCCAAGCCTTCAACCCTAGGTGGTGTCCATTGAGTTGCTGAAATAAGTGAAAGAAGAGCAATCGGTAATAGCATGGGGTGATCTTTAACTAGAAGAAGAGATAAATGATGAACTTATGAATACGGTTCCCCAATTCCGAAAAGGATGGAGCTGTGGCCGGAGTGATGTCCTTGGTGGAAACTACAACGAACCATTCGATCCACCCATGGTTGTTGTCATCATCCATGTTGGTTAGTAGATCATGGTAGCCACGTTTGCTAAATTTATCATTCCGCTGCGGAAAATCTTGGGGGAATAAATATTCATTAATCGAGCTAGGGTTAGCTCCTCTCCTACCTCCTAGCATAGACACCAAAGACAAACAACAGTCCTCTACACAGAAGGACTTACTTGTGCCAGGCATACCTGTTAACGGATGCATAACTCTACGATAACGGAGTCAAGCTCTACGCTCAAAGAAAATGGCCCCAAAGTGAAGGGATACGTATAAAAATACATGAAACCCTTCTTTGGTAAGGTTATTCGCTCCGCCAGATCAGGAGAGATAATGTCTAAATCTTGGTAATGCCAATTTTCCTTCACAACAAGAATACTGGAAGGACAGATAGAATAAGGGTACACGCCAACGGCCCACATACAAGGGTTGGCGGAAGGATACTTCACTTTGAAGTCTTTAGTTATGACAAGACTTCTTGGGATGATGGTACTCATTGTAGGAGGAGGAGCATCATCAACTTTACCTTTATTTTTTGAAGAACTAGGGTTTCTGAAAGAAGAAGCCATTTTTATCAGAAAGGAAGGAAGGGTTTCTCTGGAAAAAAAGGTTAAAGAAAGATTGAAGACAGAGTATGAGTTGAGTAAAGAGAGTTTGAGAAAGTTTGGAGAATTATGAAGTATAAATGAAGAAGTTTGATGTGTATAAGTAAAGGAATATGCGGCTAAAATTGTGGCCATAATTACCTCGATAACCGACAAAAGTGATGCTAAATCGTGGGATAACGCGTGTTCAGGGTATTAAATACGGAGAGACGTGCATATAATCAGCCGTCAAAAACTTCTCAGATGGGGTCAGAGAATTTCTCGTCAAAAAAGGTATCTTTACTAACTTTCCGGTGACAAAGTTATACCATCGGAAAGCAGGGGAACTATCTGTGAAGGGTAAAATATGTTCATATTGTATGATCATATGAGAAAGCGACATGTGGAGCCAAAGACAGAAGATAGTCGGGTCCGAAAGCAACGATCTCGTTTGTTGGAGAAAATGACATTCTTAACGACGAAATAAATGTCTGTTACCCGGTAGCATTTAATGAAAAATATTCTATAGCATTAAGTGCATGGTCCGTTACAAAGAATATGGCTTTCACTGCCTACTATTACACATTCTTCAATGGCTCTCATAAATGTTATTTAAGAGGGGCTTGATCCTAGGACCTTGTTCCCTAGATGCAAATATAAATAATGAGCTCTACCATCATTATAAGGGGACGAATTTTCTGACAAGCATATACAGACTTTGTTCAAAGCTCAATAACATTTTGCTTTCTTGCTCGTTTATATTATTTTTACTGCCTCCGGAAGCCCTGTTCCCAGGCTCAATATCTCTATCTTCTTATCTCGATTTTAACGTTAAGCCTTACATTTTTGTCTAATTCATTTATCATGTAGGATCAAATTGATTCACTTATCTATAAAACACGTATAAATTTAATTGTACCGTTTTACGAATAAATATACATATGCTTTCAACTGGCGAATCCTTATCATAAAATCTAATTTATTATATAAAGAACATAGAAATGGTCAGGGGCAGCTCGACATAAGTGGGGACCTAAAGCGTAACTACAATTAGAGGCTTAAATTTTTTATAATCGATCTTTTTAGTAATTATTTTTAATTGATAGTATAGCTAACTGATTTAATCAGTCTTGAGACGTTGATCGTATGTATTTTTATTTTGAAAAGCTTTTTTCCGTTGCAACAATTGTTAGGTATTTGGAAAAAAGTCAAGTCTTTTTATGTAATTAAGTATATCGATTAGAGTACTATATTCAATTTGTATTATTTTCCTTAACACTAACTCAATATAAGTCTAAGTCATCAATATTAGAGTGACTATTATGCTTTAAGGATCATCAAAGATTAATACAATATTTGTTTTCCCTTTAAATTATCATCATTTAGCAATCTCAATTTATTAAAATAATACTTATAGGTTTTAGTGGTTAGAATGTAAAAAATGCAAAATAAAAGTTACATCAAGTATAAGAAAATTATAAAGATGTGTTTACTTTACCTAAGAGGACTTTTTCATCCATCAACAGTCAAATAACTTCATAACGGCAAACCTCTAATATAAGCTTAAATTTTTCTAAGAAAAAATTAACATATAACCTATTCCTTTTAAAACTAGGGCCCCTTGAAAATTGGGGGCCTAAGGCATATGCCTAGCTTACTTGCCAAGCGTGTGCGTCGGCTCTGGAAATGGCTAATTGGTTATATTTACATGAAATTATATACATGATTAGCTTACCTGGTCACTTTATTATGTTTTTAGCTTAATTACGATTAAGAGTATGTACAGTCAAATCTCTCTATAACAGCCTCGTTTGTTTTGATATTTTTTGGCTGCTATAGTAAAATGTTATTATAGAGAACATATATCGGTTTCGAAAAAACTTGGCTCCTTGTTTGTTCTGATATTTTTTGGTTACTATAGTGAAGTATTGTTATAAAAAACATATATTATAACATAACGTTAAAATCGATTTCGAAAGAACTTGACTTTTATAGTAAATAATTATTATATAGGAATGTTGTTATACAGAGGTCTGACTGTACGTCAAGCTTGGTGAAGTCAGAAACTTAAAATTGACAATATCAATTGTAATTTGGAAGTGTACTTAAAATAAATTGCCAATTTCCTCGACATCTTCAGTGTCTACATGTGTTAAAACGTTAAAAGTTAGATTTTATGTAGTTAGCTTTATTATTCTAGTTGTTCTAGATTAAGTTAAAAGGATAGGAAAATTCAGAACAATTATAACGAATACTCTATGTTATACTAATATGCTAAGTGAACCGAAAAGTAATTTTGAAATTCAGGTCATCATTTGCATGTAGTAGATAAATATTTTTAAAACCGAATTAAGAAATTATTGTTCAAGCCATTATTCTTGATGTGTATTTTTATATTATAAAAATACAATATAGATTATTCTAGAATTCTAGCAATTATGTTCGTCTCAGAGTTTACATCAAGTATTAACGTAAAATGCGTAAAGAAATATTAAAAGGCAAATTTAGTCATTATAGAGTTGTAGGTTTGGTCAACTGTTAGATATTTAATTAGTCAAGAGGAAAAAGAATGTACGTTATTCAAATTTTAGGAAGTTTAAATATTAAGCAGGGCTCATGGGTGCATAATTTTCACCCATTAATTAAATATTACTGTTACAAAAGCGAGTCATAACCTTTGTTTAAGATTTTCAGTTTTTTGTTCTCGCATTAATTAGCGAGAATTTAACTTATGACATATCTTAAGCTATCTCTAGCTAGTATTTAAACTACTGGCGATGTGTATAATTCTATCTTGCATAACCAACTATCTCTTCCACAGAAGAATTACAGACACGAAGAATGAAAAGTAAGGAATTCCTAAACCCTTTTTTTCATATATTAATTAATGACGCTTATGTCTATATTGAAATTGTAGTATTTGATTTATTGTATTTCTCTTTATTTTTTGTTTTCTAAACCATATAACATGAGTTCCTCATATTTCTCTAAAATTGATTTTTTAAAATAGTTTGTTTTTACTCTTGTGTTTCAGATTGGTACTGTATACTACTGGTGAATAGTTAAATTTGCGATGACGGTGTCCTATTTGGCATATTATCTTAGAACACAAAAGTGTCATGTGTATTTGTACACCTATAGAAAAGAATAATTAACCCAAATAGTCGTTCACCCAACTGCTTAAATTAAAAATAACTGGTAGAGGTATAATATATGCATAGTTTATATATTATATGTGTATAATTATGTATAATTTATATATATAGCTAGAAAAAGTAATAATGAATATGACGGAGCAATTTTCATATTGTAGCACATAATTTATATTATTTTACATGTTACTAATCTCATTATTTTTAAAAGCTTCGAAAACAAAAACTTATGATGGATGTTATTTGCGTGCAGTGACACTACATTCAAAGGCATTCATTATTCTCATTGTTGTGGGAGTATTTGTACGTGACACCTCAGCAAGGAAGCTCCTGGGAGATGCAGTAGCTACAATCTTTGACTACAAGATCCCTGCAGCAGATGGCTTCGGACTAGGTGCTCAAATTATAGGAGGATCTGGTGGAGGAGGAAGCGGTGGTGGCGGTGGAGGAGGTGGAGGTTTTAGTAGCGGATTTGGTTCAGGATTTGGATTTGGCTTCGGTAGCGGTCAGGGTTCAGGTTTAGATGGTAGCGGCGGTGGCGGAGGAGGCGGCGGTGGTGGTGGTGGCGGCGGTTATGGGTTTGGAATAGGAGAAGGTTTCGGTGGAGGTGGTATCTGATCCAATAAATTTGCCATATTGAAGAATAATTGGAAGTCAGAAAACAAAACAAAAAAAAAATAACAATTTGAAGTTGGCCGAGGCTTTAATTTTATGTTTTATGCTTATTATGTGAGAATATTCACCATTTGAAGCTAGACACTGTCCCATCTGATTAATGTAGAAAGTGAAGATTGAAGTATAAAGGCATGGTTATGTTGACAATTCATGAACTTTTTTGTTTTAATTGATCGTTGTTTCCTTCCTGTAATTCACATTTCTTGGCGTTGAACAATTTGCTCAATGAAAAAAAAAAATCAAAATGAGAGATTTAATGCACACGAAAATATAAAAGAAAGAAGGAAGAATCTATCAAATTTTTAATGTAAATTTAAACATCAATTTTTTATCTTTTGAAATAAATTACTCCACTTATGTTAAAATTGCATAAAGTGTAATCACAATTTTTATAGTTACTTTTGTTTAAAAATTCAAATAGTAATATTGTTTAAGAAAGAGGAAACAAAAAGAAATAGGAGTACAAATTAAGGGAGAGTAATTTATTTTAAACCTCACTATCTCATATTTTCCTTTAGAATTTTTACTTATCTATACTAATTTTCAAACTTATTTACCCTCATTATTGAGGTTTTAACTTAATTACAAATTTATAGATAAATTACCAATTGTATACATTTTTAATATTAATTAAGTGTTCCCCAATTAATTCTTGCTTACATTCCTCAGATATCTTCTCCAAATCGAATCTTTGTACAATTGATTCAGTAGATTTTTCAAGTTAATCCAATAGTAGTCGTTGTTTGGATGATAAAGGAGGGAGTCTAACTTAAACATTGGGGTCCAAGAAGAAACTAAATTCCGAGAAAAGTTTTCATTTTTGCTTCTCCAGTTAAAGAAATGCCAATTTCATATCTTTGTGCGAAGCTTAAAAAATTCTTGAACAATAAGGTGGCAGTTATTAGGCGAATCTGTTGGGTTAGGTATTTTGAAACAGTGAAAAAAGTACATATATTTAAACGTTGACGGTTTTGAAACTTTGAATTCAAAAATCTATTTTTGTGAAATTGTTATTTGTTTGGATTGGTATATTGTTGCAAATGAACAAAAATATATATCAATTTTGAGAGATTTTCGTGAATATTCAAGGTGGTTTAGGTTAGAGTTTCATATTGAAACTCAAAGAAGACATACAAAAATTGTATATATATTTAATATATCGGGTGTAGAAACGCCATACACAAAATATACAGTTAACATAATTGTATAAAAATTATATGTAAATTGTAGTTTTTGACCGAATTTTGTGCAAAAAAAAAATTATATTTAACATTATAGATAAATTGTAGACTTTGACCGAATTGTATATATTTTGTAAAAGGAATTTCAGTTACTTTCCGTAAATAAAAACTTAAATAAACTGGGTAAATAAGTTTTAATTTTCGTATACATAAAATTCCTTTTCGACAAAGAATACGTTTAATCTCAACTAAATCTTGCATTTCCTAGTTTTCATGACCCGAGGCCCCAGCCCAGTAAAAATTGAACTCAACGCATTGACAACGAGAAACATGAATGGCGTAAATGTTACTCCTGTATCCTAGTTTTCATATCCCAATTCATTCGTTTAAGAGACTGAATGTCTGTTTGGTTTAGTGACTTCTGAATTGTTATATGATTTTCAGCTACTTATAGAATTCAAGAAATTCATTGCCAGTATTTCGTCGGAACTTGGATTAGACAGTGGACGCACTTGGTTTAAGAGGTTATAAATTATATTACACTAATAGTAGCAGAATATATTTATAATTTTCAATGTGTATATATAATACATTATCTGAAATATAATGATTTTTTATACTATTAGTGTATACATACAATTTATTTGAAGTTAACAATTAATGTAATTATTGTAATATACAATTTATTATCTTTTAAATGACAAAATTATGTAAATATATTCTGTACCGTCAATGGATTTGATCATAAAGAAATTTGGGATTCTAGCTGTAGGTTATTAGCATACGAAAATCATCCAAAACCTTTTGTCTGTACTATTGGCTGATGTGTCAAAATCCTTATCCTGTCCGAATTAAGTAGTGTTCATCATGTTTATGAGGAGCCTATTCTCTTTTTCATGTAATACAGTTGCAGAGTTCTTTAAGTTGTAATCATAACACTGTATTTCTACGTGCATGGTTTCCAGATGTCCACATAAAATTCATGCACTTATTTACAATGAATGGTAATAATTATACAGAAAACGGTTGGTGTTTGGATTTTCTTCGGGCCCAAACTTCCTATAAAATCCCTTTTACAATCCTTCACTTGTCACAAAACTCTCGTATAATTAATATTATCCCTTTTGAATTTTAAACCTCTTGCTCGTGAAAATGTTCATTAAATTTCTACCACTTGTATCTGTCCTCTTACTAGGAGCTTTTGTTGGTGCCAGGAAATTGTCAAACGAAAATGTTTCTCTTGTTGCGGCAAATGTGACTACGTCTGATTATCAAGGCGGGATAGATGACACTGGTAATATTGGAGGATTTGCTGCAGATAATGGAACTACAGGTGGTGTTTAAGCAATTCGAAGGCTTTTCAAAAATAAAAATAAAAAGTTTAAAGGCTTTATATATAAATGCACTTCAGTTTCTAAATAGAAAAAGTGGTTTGTGGCAATATATTTTGTTGCATCTTGAAGGAACTTGTCTGTATTTTTCTCGAACATTACATGGAAATATATATCTAAAGAAAAGTTATTTTCACGCTTCGAATTGAGCTTTTGTTTTTACTTACTAATATTCTGTTTATATAACAGGTGGCACTGGGCTTGGTATAGGAGGATCCATTAGTGGGGGAGCTGGAGCTGGAATAGGAGGGAGGTTAGGTATTGGGGTGGGGCCCATTGGTGCCGGAGTTGAAGGTGGTGTTGGGGTTGGGATTGGTGCTGGTATTAGAGCAGGTGTTGGTGCTGGCGGCATGGGTGGGGCCGGCGGCAGTGGCGGCGGCCTTAGCGGAGGAGTAGGCACCGGCCTTGGTGGTGGATCAACTGGTGGAGGATTTGGCGGCGGATGGCCATGATTCTTGATGGAAAATTAGTAAACCAGTTAATTAGCAGTGGCGTTAAAGCTATTGTACTTGCGTTTTGATTTCATGTTATGCTGCTAACGTTTAGGAGATCTATGGGTACGTAGAATGTAATGTCGTGTTGGTTAATAAATTGAAGGGAAAAAAAGTTTGGTTCGAAGTTGTTTGTGACCATATAAAGTTCAAGCTAAAAGAATGCATTTAAAGTTCGAATATAAGTTTTGTGCACTGCAGAGTTTTTTATCCAATTATACCATTTTTAAGGTAATATATATATATATAGAGTAAATATCATAATCGATAACCTGATAAAAACAATAACTAACCTATTATATATTACATGTTAAATTATACTGATAGCGTGTATAACATCCTCAAATTACTGAATCTTTTTACTTTAAGTGCAAGCTAAAAAACAATACTTTCAATTATTTAATTTTATTGAGTTTCAATAAATAAATACTTTTTGATTTTTGAGGATGACAATGATATTGGAACACTGAACCTCTGTTTACACTAATTTCATGATGAATTGAGAAAGACTATCTATTTTTTTTAATAATAGAAATATATATTTTAGAACTTTAAATTAAGATACTCAAATTTTCATATTGATAAATAATGGTTTTTTATAATAAGATCCAAGGTAACGAATTGTAAATACGTGGCTAACATCTTATTAACTTGAATTTCTTACCAATGTGAATATTAATATTATATTTTATAAGATAACTACACTATAGACAAAAAGAAAGAAAGAAAGAAATAAATAAAGAAAGAAAGAAAGAAAGAAAGAAAGGAAGGAAAAAAAGGAACCAATGTAATATTAATACTATATTTTACAAGATAACTATACTATAGACAAAATAAAATAAAATTTAAGCCCCTTATTAAAATTTGGTTGTAGACTATGATTTTTATTGAGCCACCTTTGCTAATACAATATATATTTTTTATTTAATACATATTCAATTACTTAATTACTTTATATCTCGATTTTATTAATTGAAATTCTAGCATGGAGTTATCTCGAGATGCCAAAGAATAGAAACGATAGACAACAATACTCAATTAATTTTGGTAATGAGAATAAAAAACTATCCTTATGTTGAACAGTAAATACAACTAAATAATGTAGCAGTCAGCAATATGCTAGTGTATAAAATAAAACACCCACTTCAAACTATTTTTTCTTTTGGTGCAAAGGATAACATTTTATTAAAACAAAGTAGTAGTAGTAGTACAAGTAGGTGTAGTCAACCTATTCATTGTCCTAAGGAGGCGACCTCACGATGAGTCGTAACAAAAAGGTGCATCTGGGGAAAAACTACTTCTAGTAGGGCCTATATTAGTAATATTACATAAAAGGTGTACAAGATGTTGCAAACGACCTAAAGGTGGAAGAGTTGGTAGAGCAACTCTTCTGACAAAAAGTTTGCCTATGCGATCATCTTCCAGTGTTGTTGTAAAAAAACATGGTGGTTGTGTATATACAATGATTCCTGTGTTGCTCTCCATTTGGCTACCAGATTTTGCAAGTCGATCATCAACTTGGTTTTGTTCCATGTAGGTATAAAGTATAGCCGGATCATCCAATTGTATTTGCTCGAAGCAGTGACCATTTGGCTACATGCCTCTATTACATCTTCTATATTGGCTGATTCAAAATTAGTAAAGTAAGATATTGAATTTAGTCATGGAGAAAAAATTAAATTTAAGATTAGCTAATCAGAAGCAATAATAAATTTTTGAAAGCTTCGCTTTGTTTTAAATTTCGATCTTATTAAATTTTAGAAGCTACCAATTTATGTCAAGTGTTATACATTTCTCAAGTAATCAAACATAAAATTACAAAAAAAAAATGCTTCTATATATTTTGTTTTATAATACCATTTATTCGTATTGTTTGCGATATATGTGATTATTATTTTGGGAAAAGTTGTGTTTAGAACCAACAACAATAACAAATCCAGTATATTCTCACAAGTGGAGTATGAGAAGGGTAGTGTGTGCGCAAACCTTACCCCTACCTAGTGAAGGTAGAGAGGATGTTTCTAATAGATCCTCGACTGAGAAGAAGAAGAAGAAGAAGAAGAAGAAGAAGAAGAAGAAGAAGAAGAAGAAGAAGAAGAAGAAGAAGAAGAAGAACCAAACAGTAATAATAGGGAAATAAGATAACTAAGGGGAACCGGTATGGTATAGATATAAGAATATGAAGGTACATGAGTGCTATTAATACTACTAGTAAGAAAAGAGGAAACTTTCAACTGCCTACTAACTTTCTACCCCAATTCTCGACCTCATCACCATTCTATCAAGGGTCATGTACTCAGTAAGCTGAAGCAGCACCATGTGATACCTAATCACCTCTCCCCAGTACTTCTTTGGCCTACCTCGATCTCTTCTCATACCCACCATGTCCAACTTCTCACACCTCCTAACAGTCACATCAATATTTTCCTCTTAATGTGTCTCAACCATCTCAACCTCAACCCTCGCCTCTTGTCCTCCATGGAGGTCACTCCTATTTTGTTCTGAATAACTTCATTCCTAATCTTATCTCTCCTGGTACACTCACTCATCCATCTTAACATCCTCATTTTTACTACTTTCATCTTCTAAATATTGGGAGTTCTGGACTAACCCACATTCGTCCCTATGTCCGCTTTATGAGTCCTGTCACTGAATTTGCACTTCAAGTATTATGTATTTGTCCTACTCAACTTGAAACCTTTAGACTCTAAGGTCTGTCTCCAAACCTCCATACTTGTATTAACCCCGCTTCGCATTTCGTCAATCAATATTATGTCATTGGCAAATAACACCATGGCACCTCCTTTTGCATATGCCACATCAACACATCAATCGCTAAGGCAAATAAAAACGGGCTAAGAGTGAAAGTACAATAGGGGTGTGAATATTTGTATATTTTAATCACTACAAGTTGACTAGTTTTCTAATTAGTCGACTAGATGTAATATCGAGATAATAGTAAGAGAAGAATTTAAGGTGCAGAAATAAAGTGTAGGAATTAAAGACACCGAAAATTTTATACTGGTTCGGATTCAATGTGAATCCTAGTCCAGCCCTCTTAGTTGCAAGGGAGTTCTCTTTCAGTGAATGAGTTTCTCGAGCACAATGTGAATGGTGTGGTTTACACCAATGGCTCAGTTTCTATGTCAGTCGTTTCTTTTTTATACAATGCTCACCAGTATTTTTCTCTCTTTTTTCTGTAACTTGTTACACAGCAGATCTAATAGAGCTACAATGTTTGCTTGCATTAGAACAAAGAGAGGGTATTTGTTTCGATAAAAGTATGTTTGTCTAATGCTTAGGGAAGTGTATAAATACTATGTAGGAGGTCGTTGTTGAAGAGATTTGACAACCCAAGAATAAGGTTATATGTCGTTGCTCTTCCTTGTTGAGAGGACTTTAATAGCTTTCCTTCTACAGGTCTTGATAGCACCGGGTTTACTCCTTATTTTTGGTCCTTCCAAAAATAGCAGCTTGATTGATCATCTTGCAAGATCTTCGATGCTTCTTTCTGCTTCAATCAATCTCTGATTGATTTCCTTGTCGGATCTTTAGTTGGTTGATTAATTCCTTCCTTTTGGTTTCTTTGATCTTGGATGCTTTCCTTGAGTCCCTATACCAAAAGCAACTATATTATTTTTTATCATTAAAACTAAAACCTAACAATCTCCCCCTTTTTGGTGATGACAAAATAATATATGTAAACATCAGTTGACTTCCCTGTATTTTGCTCCCCTCAATGAGTGCAGTTGACTCCCCCTCAATAGGTGTTTCCTTTAGTTGACTGCTTCTGCAGGATCCTTGACTCCCCCTCAATAGGTGTCATTGGGACTTCTTTTAGTCACCTTCTCCTGTAGTATCAACTTCCCCTGCAATGGATGTACCTGCACGAATATACATATCCTTTCTCTCCCTTTTTGGCATCAGCAAAGAGGGGATAATATAACCACACACTATATACTAAAACACGATTTATAGCACGATATGCTTGCATAGTTATGGTAAAACAAAACATATTGTCTAAGCAACACAAACAAAAGCAAACAAAAAAAATTACTCAACGACGGGTTAACTAGTCCAAAACAGCACCGCAAAAAATATTGTCTTAAACATCCACATTAACGACACAAGAAATAGGTAAGAGTGTTGCAAATAGCCTCTTTTAGTTGATCAAAGCTGGCATTGGATGAGATAGTCACTCCATCAAGCCTATCGTGTACCTCCTTGAATGTCTTGACTGCGTTTTCCCTAACTCTAAGAACTGCAACTCTTATCTTTGAAACATCATACCCTGTCTCTTTTGAGATTGCATAAATATCTCCAACAGTGGACTGAGTAGCAGTAAGAAGATCTTTGATGGCGGACAACTGATTGTCAATGGCAACTAGTTTCTCAGCAAGATTAGAAACACTAGGACTATTATGGGAAACATAGGGTTTGGATATTAGATCAGGTTGAGCATGTTTGACCTCACTTGTTTCTTAACCCATGATCCCTTCACACACATATACCCCATACTTGCAAACGCTCTAGAATTGTAAGATTTTGAAACAGAGATGAAGGGATATTCAGAGATGAAAATATTATGAGCTTCTAGAATGTGAGTGATGGACATGCCATAAGGCAGACTGATGGGATCATCAGCACTCTCAATCATAAAAATAATGACCCAGGAGGACAATTTGATATTGAGTTTTGTCACAAGGCAATAGACAAGAAAGGTATCTCTTTGAGAGAAGATGGAGAAAGAGCCAGTACGAGGAAGCAGAGTAGTTACAACAATGTGGGCTAGAACACGAGTTTCAAAGCTAACATCACTTGGACCTAACTGGTTTGGGAGAGATTCAGATGGACACTCAGCAATACACCGTCTTTCTTGATCAAAAGTGATTTCAAAATCATCAGGCCAGGAATTTTTGAAAAGCATGGAAAAACTAGAACACTTACACTGGAAAATTGAA